AGTATCCTTCAGGAAATTCTCATAGGGTTTGGCAAGGGCACATTTGACAGCTGAAAAAAAAACAGTTTAACTGACCTAGCTGCTCCAACCTCTAGACTCATACCAGCGAGATGCGACAGTGTGAACACGTAATGTTCTAACCGATTTGGCAAAAAACGTTTTCCCATCTTCTATTAACCCTTTAACGCGCCTGCGATTTAGCGATCGAACCTTGTCTTTGGTAGTTATTGCTCTCTTTGTGGAGTCATGCTTGCCAGATTTTTTGTAGCAACTATTTCCTTTAATCTCCTGATTGTTTGCTGCTGGTTTGCTTTAAGACGGTTGTCCTGCCTTGAAGTATTGTTCATGCGCTGATTTAATTATTTCACGATATCTTCTCTATAAGCAATATAATGCTTTACAACGTGATTTTTATCTCCTTCCATATTTTCTTGTCGATTGCAGGTGGCTTGGCTTGGGGGCAGCAAGAGGTCGCATTTACTCTAAACATCCGTGGATATTCCGCTACGCCTGCGACCGGGAGGACAAGTCATGGCTGTCGAGGGCGGGTCATTTACCCAATTGCGGCGCTAAGGCCTTCCTTGTTCTAGCCAAACAAATCTATGAGGTGGCATCTATGGACAATAGCCTTTCCACCGCAGCCACCACTCGCGGACCTCTACCTCAATTCGTTCTGCCACCATGGCTGTTCCGAAAGGTGCGACTGCTACTTGCGTTGTGTTTGCGCTGATTCATAGCCTATCGTCCGTCTTTGCATACGTGCTTGAGTCACAACTTAGGGCTTGGGTAGTTTGTCTATTGGTGCACCTAAGTTCCCAATGGAGGCCTGGCCATCGAGACATTGGCTGGGAATGGCCTTGAAGTGGTAAGATTCGATTACTTTTTTCGGCTATCTCAGTATCTGAGCTGTGGATATGATTGGACATTTTGAACGACATGGAGGTTAGTTGGTACATGCGTGATTTTGAGAAGTTTCTTCTAATTAATGGAAACCTAGTTTTGTGGTTCGCTTGTTGTAGCCAATTCTTGGTTGATTGATCAACAAAATCTCTAATATCGTTTCATTAAATGTGGCCAGCACCTAGAGTAACCCGCTAATAAGACCCCATTTAGCTGTATCACCAAGCAAGCTCAGATTCAACTGTGGATAAACCCTATTCACGTAATCAGGATCATCCAAACAGAACTTCTCTCTGAAGTTCTCGAAATAACTAGGTTGCATCCTGGTTTATGGTTAAAGAGACTTTCAACATAGAATTGGTTCTCCATACTTGGAAGCGACTTTTGACGTAACTTTGTTTAGATTCATCTCGCGTCTCAAAGAAATATCAGGAACTCACAACAAACGGAAAGTTGACGAGGACTTTTATGCATCGACGTTTGAAATCGCTAGTGAAGCAGTCTAACATTCGAAACTCAAATGTCCTTTGTATTAATACATCCTTATGCTGCATGCTGCTGGCTGATCCTACAATTACAGCAACTATTGTTAGAGGTCGTGTTTTCAATCCCCATGGGTTGACATATAGACAATATTTTTGGCATTCATAACAAAAGTTCGTTGCATTGGAGATAAAAAACAATTAGCTGCCAGAGGAATGGGTATGTTCCCAAAACGAATCATTTAATCTTCATTGGGAAGTAATAGTTTCAGGTAATTAGTACCGATTACAGGATCGTGTTTGTAATCGCTAACGTTCCATCTTAAATTCTAGCATAACTGCCTTCAGTTTTTCTCCATCCATAGACTGGTAGCTATTTGTTCGTTTATTTATAGATGTATTCCTCCCAAACAGGTTTAGGGGTGTTGAAATGTCAAGGAATAAGCAGCACTAATACGAGTACACAAATACCAATTGTGAAAAAGAAAATGCGAATTACCGCAATGGCTCACTGAATGGAAAAAAATTTGGTCTTTTCCTTCGCTATCAGCATATGATGCTCTTTATTTTGATGTATGTGTTCCGGTTAGGGGTAGTTGATATCCTTTGCCTTCTCTAGACGTAGGCAGGTTCTAAACCGGTGAACTAACGGCATTTTAAAGAAAGGAATCGGTGACATGGGAAGTTACTTTAGTTTACTTTCATCTTCTGCAACCTCAGTGTCATATTTCAGAAATCGGAATTTGAATTTGGATTGGAGTCATTGAATTCCTGGGGCAAGTGCGTTTTGAGATTGACATCATGTGAGAATCGCTTGTCATTTCTCTTCAATTTGAGTCCCGGAGCTTTGTGAGGTCTCTCTTTAGCATTTTAATGCCATTTTACTGCATCTGATATACGAATAGATCTGCTTGTTCTAAATCCGATCTCATTTTTCACCGTTAGAAAGGTTTTTGAGAGATTCTGTTTTATTGCGAAGTAGGCTGCACCAAAAAGGATGGATTTCTCTGAATGCCAGTCATGCCATATGATGTTTCGCACACCAGTATGAGGGTCTGAGGTAGACCAAATTTTCAAAGGCTTTTCGTGTTCAGCACCAGTGGATCAATGGGTCAACTCCTATCGGGTAAAATTGGTTAAATTCCTTGAAAGTCTTCAAGGACAGGTAGCTCTTAGTATGCAAGTTTGATTGCTTGTCAATGGCTTTCTTTCCTTTTTTCCACTTCTTTCTTTGTAATAATTGGTGACACTTTATGCACGC